TTTTTTTTCAATAAGCACGTTTATTTAAAAATGTCTATTTTTCCTCAAGATCGCAATATTTTTCATTGCTATTTCACTCATTCATCTTTTCATTATTATTATTCTTGAATTATAGTTAGTTCAACTGCGAGATTATATTTGCAATCGTAATTTAAGCGTGGATGTGTATTTGTAAAAATTTAGAATAAACATTAAAAGTGTGAAGCGAAAAGCAACATGGCATGTTTTTACGCGTAATCGATTAGTTCAATTGAAGAGAAGTGACAGAAAGACAAATATAGACTGATATAGAGACGAAGAGGATTTTATTTTATTTATAGTAAGCTGTATTTACTATAATTTTTTTTTTTATTTCACGCATATCTCTCATCGTTTAGACTAATTTTCATTTAAATTATTATTTCCAGTTCACAAAAGTAATTCATAAATCATATATGTTTAAAGTATTTTCATGAGTGTATAGAGGATCGACTGACGCAGCATATTTTATTTTATTTTATTTTATTTTATTTAAAACTTATTTTAATTTTCATTCAAGATAATTTTTCATCAAATTATAATACTTTCCTGTCAAATAAATTCACATCACCGTAAAATTTACTATTTGCAAAAATAGAATAATAGTTCAATTTACTAATTGACGTTGGTATTGAGTTTTCATTAAAGTTTTTCAATTACCAATAATATTAACATGTATTACATTTATATAATTTCGTTTAAAAAAATAATGCAATTATAATATAATTACTTTTGATTAACATTGGTAAAGAACGTATAAATATGGGTTCACCTTTATTGTTGAACATTTTTATAGTTTTCCAATTCAAACATTTATAAAATCATCGTACTGTTATTGCTCTTTTCTTTTTTTATTATAATTATAATTCTTTTATATAGTACAATAATAGTAATAAAATTTAAAAATAAATAATTAGGGTTATGTTACGGTTAGTTAAGATTTTTTCAATAGAAATTATCTAGCGCATATAATTTATTTATACTCTCTCAACATATTAAATGATTATTATTATTTCATAAAAAATTAGAGTAAAATTGAGAGAGTAATTTAAGAATTGAATATGGAATTTTTCCTTGGTGGTCCTTTTCCATCGTGTTACAAGAAAGCCTTTGCCTTTATTGTATTACGTTTTTGTATTTTTCTTTCTAATTTTATGTTTTAGTGATTTTCTTTCTCAATCCATATTTTCAATTTATGCTCCATTTAATTAACCATTTCAAGTATATTAATTTTTACTTTTTAATAAAATTATATATATATTCAAATTTCTTAAATAGTATGTTGTTAAAATATTTGTTAACGTAAATATATAATATATACAATAATTATATATGTATATAATTTTATAATAACTGATACTAATTTATAATAGAAAATATTCTTTAAATTTTTATTTACATCATTTATTTTATGTAAAAATGCTAAAATATCTACTTTTCATTAATTTTTTTTTTTTTTTTGTCACTTCAAGATCGTCTATTTATTATGATTTTCATAGTAATTTTTATGTTAAGAAATGAAAATATCCTTCAAATTTATATGGCAAATAATAATTGTCAAAATATTTGATATTTAAGATATACCGGTGTAAATCTCCAGGATTATAGTTTCAATATAAAAAGACAAATTAGAGTATTAAGTTTGGTCAGAAAAATTCTTTATTTTCTTCTTGTTTCTCTATTCCATCTTAATTTTCAGTAATTTTTTTGTATTTTCAATTCTGAAATTGTTTACCATCTTCTTTTATCGCAAAAATAAACCTTCAAAACAATTTCTTTATATGCCAGACTATCGTTATTCTCTCCATAATAACTCCAATGTGTCTAAGTCGAACCTCCTCGAGGATCTTTCAACTTCGTTAAGAACTTCTCGCGTGCAGCTTTCCTTTTCCAATTCGACAACATGATTTTTAAACGAAGGTATTTTAACGCATCATTATACAATAACTCTTTTGGGATGATTAATATGTATCATTAAATGTTTTTATTCTTTCCCTTATCGTTTAAAGTTTTAAGGTTTTTAAGCCACTAGCATTTACTCGTAAAAAATAATTTCTGCTTACGCAGGTTAATGAAAATACTGATTACATTCATATATATACATGTAGATAAGACGAGAGGCTTAAGTACCTCAAGGAGCTTTGCCCTTTATCTTAACATAAATGCATTGAAAATTCATAATGAAGTACACAAGTATATAAGGTCTCGAGGAAGTTACTTCTCTCGTCCGTCATATGTATATATACACAAATGTATATATGCACGTATACATTTTAATGTATTTATAGTTTCTACTTGTATAATATGTATTTTTATGTATATTGTGTACAGCTTATCATGCGATTGCATTTCGCGCATACTTTTATTCTACACATTAATAATTAGCTTTCGTAATTCCGTGTTGGTAATTAACCCAATTTTTCCCATTTTTTCGACTAAAATTGGACATCTTCGTATATAACGTTTTTTTTTTCTTTATTCACATTGTATGGTTATTAATATACGCTGTTCAACGTGAATTGTATATATAATAAAATTTTGTGTAAATAATATTGTTATAATTATTCAGAAAACAAAATTTTGATATATATATATATATATATATATATATATATATATATATATAAACTTCAATTGCATTATAAACAATATATAAGAGTATTGAGAAGAACGATAAATAAAGTATTATGTTCATTAAATAAATATAATAATTTTTTACTTTTGGCTTGATGATCAATAACCAATACTTTAATATCATTAGCATTAAAAATGTATTATTGCATAGATGATTGCGTCGGTTATTTATTAATCTGATCTGTTAGCTGATTTGTAAAGGATAAAAAATTTATAAGACAAATGTCCAAATTCCGATCATATGCTTTCATTCGCTTTCAAATGTCCTCATATTCCTTTTACTTTTTCTTCAATATTGAATTCCGTGCAATGCCTTATTCTCGTACCGACTTCCTTTCCATTTTCAACTTTTGCATGCATCCATTATCTCATGCCATCTGTTACATATTAGACGCACTATCTTTCAAAATATATTTCCTTTTTATTATCCATACGAAAATTTGGTTTCATTATCATTCCTCAATTCGTCTCCTACCCTTACTTTAACCCTCTATTTCCTCCGTATAAATACACACACTTGTAATATGTTTATTTATTATATATGCACAAAACAAATAAACGTATGAATATACATGTATTTGTTCTTATTTGTTTAAATCTACTGGTGATATGTACCAAATGGAAGATTCGTGTCACTTGAGAACCGAATTTATGGGTACTCCTTTTGTGTTCCGGGACACGATCGGTTCACACAAGTGTCCTTTCCCTATTTCTATCCGTATCTAAGCCATCCATCATTGTATCGTTTTCTTTACAAATTGGTTGTTGTTGTTTTCATTGTTGTTGTTGTTGTGGTTGTTGTTGTTCTTCTTCTTTTTCTTGTTGTTGTTATTGTTATTGTTGTTGTTGTTCTTCTTCTTCTTCTTCTTGTTGTTGTTATTGTTGTTGTGGTTGATTTAGTTGATATTGCTGTATGCAATATGAGCCGCCATCTTTTACTCGGTTTTTCGTATTATCATAGCCCATTGTCTCGCGTACCTTTGCGAAATCGTGATAATATGTAGATGACCGGATGCGCATGTGCACCCATCAGCATCTATATATCGAATTATTGGGACACTTGATTACATTTAGGCTTCATCGGTCTATCTATTCGCGCTTCTCTTCCAACTGATTTAATGTGTTGTGCACCAATTGACGCCAGCGATCCGTAATCGTTTATCATCATTCTTCCAATTAATAAAAGTCATGTACTATTTATATTAGATTTGGAGAAAATTAATGTAATACATAATAAATAAATTGGCATAAATTGACAATAAAATTATAGGACCATGACTGTACTTTGCTTTTTCGCGCTGCCGAAAAAGTCTAATGGCATCTTCATTACTCGCGAATAAGAAGATATAATAAGTATATACGTGTTGTACATTGTAGTGAAGTGGGAGGATGGGTGGTTGAGTGAGGGACGGTTGGGTTGGGGGGGGGGGTGAAAGCTCAAGGGGGGGGGGGGGGTGAAAGCTCAATAAAGTGACTGATTGTTGAATCGACGTTGAAGAACAAACGAGTGATTGCCTAGTAAAAATAAAAGGGAATCTCGCCACCCCTTTCAATTTACGAGTTTATTTTTATTTTTATCCTACTCGATATGATATTTTGTTTGATCTCTAGGAATTAAAATGTCGTTGTTGTTTTTAGCGAGTTATCTTAGTAGCGGCATTTTATACGAGTTAGGCTCAATTCAAGCTACACGTCATACACCACACTTTCATTAAACAATAAAATTATATTAATAACCCTATTATGCCCCTGAAAGAGTACACAATATTTTTTTTTTTTTTTTTTCATTTTTAATCCATCATCAATGCATTTCACTGGACCGACGAAGTTCATGCAACATTAGTCGTCGTGATTCCTTGTGTAAAAATAAGTTATAGCAATTTCTTAAATATGAGTATTATCCTAACGATTAAAACCCTAGGCAAATACAATGATTAATTATATATAATTAATCACTGTCATTGTCAGGCGGTCCATTTTATATGCTACATCCATTACTTTCCCCTTTGGTACGTAGCCATTTTGATATTCAAAATGATTGAATTTTTGTAGAAATAGGTAATTATTGTGTAGGGATGTCGTGGCGAGCTCAAAGAGTGAGCCAACTAGGGTGAAATTTACTTAAGATCGATTCAAAATCTTAGCTCGACGGCAAAATTCTAAATCTATAATGAAAGTGGGACAATTAGCGAACAAATATTTGCCCTGAAATGAAAGGGGTTGCTGTAAAATCGTAAATCTTTGCCCTTGAAAGTCCAATCATTCCGCGAGCAAGGTAAGAGTCCAAAAGAGCCACTTAATTCTTTCTACTTTCAGCAACAGGTGAGCCAGCTTGGAGACCCTCTACCCTAGCCACACCTGCAGAATAGTTGGTAAATATGGAACAGCAGCAGCAGTAAAAGGGAGCCCTGAGCTAATGGTATCGAACTTTGTAAAGCTTTGGCGCCTGATGAGATGCTCGACGCTACGGTGCTGCTGCAAACCTCTGGTAATGGATCTGTAATATACAAAAAAAAAAGTATGTGAGCATTCTTTTCATGCGTATTGTTCCATATGCGAGAATGTATCTTCGGCGTTAAAACGCGAATTTTTGACAATTTCATTTGTGACATTGATCGAAGGGAAATTTTAAGCTATAATTGTGTTTTATTGCCGAACATTGGGTTAATATTGATAGTGAAAGTGAAAAATCATTCACTTAGCCAGTCGTCTAAATTCTAAATTCTTCCAATTTCTAAAGAGAATTTCTTCAAATGCCATGCGTAATATAATTTAATTTTTTTTTTTTTTTTTTTTTTTTTGATTTATCGTAATGATATTTGGCCGTCAATCATTCTCAAAAACTTTCAAATGCCATTGAAATTAAAGGGACTGTAGTAATTTATATCATCATTTCAGCATAAACGAACGTTTATTAAACTTCATGCAAAAGGTACGAATTTTTATATTACGCCAATCATCTCGTATTCGAAGGGATAACATTGTATCTCATTGTTGAACAATTATTACCTCTGTGAATAATTTTTGATAATTTCTCTTGCTCGGCTACCTAACGTAACACGCGTTGCATCTTGGCACGTGACGGCCACGTATGCTCGCCATTATCGAGCCAAGTGGCCCGATAGCCACGTGGCAAATATCACAGCTGGAAAAAGTGTTGGCGGTTACGAGGCTTTTAGGCCTCCTATGACGCACTTGATCCGTCCGGGGGTACAAAAGTCACAAATATGTTGGATGCACATCGATCGTCCGCTTCCACGATTAGTCGTCCCATTTCCCAATAATCCCGATAATCCATTCCCGGCGCGGTCGACCTCTCGGCTATCGTCGACGACGTCGTCCTTCCACACGATGGCGGGGAGAATCGGCCCAGCGCAGCATAACTTTTCTGACTTTATGCCCGTCGACCTCTCTAACCGTGACGTTCAGCATAGCTGGCATAACTCCACTAGTTAGACAAAGACCGCCGCATGCGACTGCGAAGCCGACCCAACGAGTTTCACGCCTCTTCATCCAGTCGAGCTTTCGCTGTCGTCATTATTCAAATGGATTATAAAAGCAGACTGCTTGACGCGCGCGACCAAGTTGTTCTAGTCGAGGTCGGGAGTGATACCGACTTCAGCCATCACCCGAGGTTCTCTTATTAATCTAATATTGCGTGAAAAGCAGTTTCGCTTGATCAATCCTCGCTCAGCTAATATCCAATATGGCTCCAATAATGGTTGCCAGCTGTTTAGTAGAGGTACACATAAGCTTATTATTCGCCGAGATTAGTTGTTAACTTAAGTATCGATTACATCGAGCGTACATTCGGAGCGCTGATTTGTCATTTCTCGTATAACAAATCTATCCGAGACGGGATCACTTTAATCAAAGATTAAGCATTAAGAATTTTCATCAACTTATTTCTATTTATTATTTGTTATTCGCTACTTGTGCCAATATCGAATTTACTCGCTTATAAAGTCGAATAAATCCTTAATAAGGATTGATTAATAACGACCGAAGACCACTTCCCTTGCAATTTTACAGTAATATTAGATCGCCAAGCATATCCAATTAGCAATAAACTCTCGTGTACGATTGTTGTCAATGAAAGAGAAAACATTAAGGCGATCAAGACGATTGACTAGTT